TGGCATATGGGGCCGACACCCTACTCTTTTGAGCCACAGGCACCGCCAGAAAATTCAATTTTGCTTAAAGGAACATTGTAAAGTAACAATTCTTGGTATTACATGCTTCATGTGATCCATTTCAAACCATAGAGAATTATACTTTTTGTGTTACTGTTCCAAGAGACAAACAAATTTGAACAGCTAAACCATCTTTAAGAGTTATAGGTAGAAAAATTAGTCCTTCAGATATTAAAACATATTTTAAAGTTATAGTAACTAAAAGAGAATAGTATCATTGTAGAAAGAGAAGAAAAGATGAGTGAAGCAGAATATAATCAAGAAGCATATAAATCTTTTATAATTTGAGTGATTATATGTTTGCATATTCATTCAATAAACATCTAATGAGCCTTCGTTATCTGCTAGGGACTGTACTATGGCTAATCAAAGACAATTAAGATAGTCTCTATCAGCAGTCTGATTTGGGAGATGAAGAACATGTACTTCAGAGTCAGACTTAGGATAAGAATAGTTTTATCTATTTATGATATGTTCTAGAGACATAGAATGTACCAAGTACTCAATAAATGTTATCTATTATTACAACATGTGGTTAAGAACTGTAATAGATGCTATAAACAAAGTGTACGGGGAATAGATGCTATAAACTGTAATAGATGCTATAAACAAAGTGCAGAGGAAGTGGTGGGTGGTGCCTGTAGCTCAGTGGGTAGAGCGCTAAGGCTGGTAGGTTTGAATCTGGCCCAGACCAGCTAAAATCAACAATGACAGCTGCAACAAAAAAATAGCTGGCATTGTGGCGGGCACCTGTAGTCCCAGCTACTTGGGAGAGTGTGGCAAGAGAATTGCTTAAGCCCAAGAGTTGAGGTTGCTGTGAACTATGATGCCACGGCACTCTACTGAGGACAACATAATGAGACTCTGCCTCAAAACAAAAAAGGAAGTAGCAATTGGGAGGGGATATGAACAGATGTAATGGTTTAACAAATACTGGAGCAGTAGTTCTCAACCTTCCTAATGCCATGGCCCTTTAATACAGTTCCTGTGGGTCGCTGTACTAGAGGAAACTGGTATTATTTCCTCTAACCAATTTAATACATTTATACTAACTCTGTCCAATAGATAGCACAACAATGGATATGCTTCCTACCTGCACTGTCCAAGTGTGACCTCTAGTCACATGTGGTTATCAGGCACTTAAAATATAGCTAACGTGACCTGCAAACTGAAGTATAAATTTTATTTATTTTTTTTTTTTGAGAGATGAGTCTTGCTATGTTGCCTAAGCTGGTGAGCAATGGTTAATCACAGGTGTCATAATAGAGAACTACGGCTGTCTCCTGAGCTTTCAAGAGATCCTTCAGCTTCAGCCTCCTAAGTAACTTGGACTAGTCATGCACCATTGTTTCTGGCTACTTAGCTTAAATTTAAATAGCCACATATAGCTAGTAGCTACCTTATCGGACAGCACAGGTCTATATAATAAGAGTAATATACAAACCAAAGAATGATACAATGGTTTATATTATTATCTAGGAACTACCTTGATAGTTAATATCAGGTATTTGTTTTTTCCTCACCCCATTTTTTCCTCAGTTTCCAAACTCACTTGATTGTTTTGTAATCCTCTGTTATGGAGGAGTCAAGTGAGGACATACCCATCTCAGGGTCTGCACTGGGGTGCCATTGCTGCTGCAGAGACCAGATGGGTTGGAATGATACAAGTGGGTAATTGCTGGCTGAAAGAAATAGTTTTGTTTTGTTTTGTTTTGAAAGAAATAGTTTTTGACAGCTAGTGCTTAAAAAAAAAATCAAAATGTTAGGTTGTCTGTTGGTCTCAGTTTTCTTCTTGTGCACATCTCCTCAGGCTGTATTTGCTCTTTGAAATCCTTTTCTCTTTCAAGTGTACCCTTGATTTTCAGTTATGTAAAAATGTAAAGGGGACAAAGCATAAAGCAGCATTTACCATCCTGTATTATGTTAATGAGGAAAAAAGAATAAAAAAAATTCATCAGCTTTTTGAAGGTAGTCATTTAAAAAATAATTTCGAATAAGAAAACAGGTAAATGTAGTCACAGATTAAGGCAAAGGCAATTGGGAATCCAAGTTATCAGGCTGTTCTAGAACACACAGTCTCTCTCCTTTGGGATTTGTGTTCTAGACTGGAGGAGGAATGTGTAGCCATTGCCCAGCTGGCACATGTTTTCGCTCATGCTGTTAAGCTATATCTGATTTAGTGAAGTAAAAACAAATTTTTTTTTTTTTTTTTTTTTTACCTGAGATGTAGGAGGACCCTTTAAAATACTGGCCTGAGAAAACCTAATCTCTGGTTATTTCAATAGCTGCAGTTTAAGTGGAGAACAACTTGAGTGGATTGTGAGATACAATCTCCTCATTTCATTCAGTGTTGCTTAAAAGGCTTACACACCTGTCCATCTACTGAGGGATACAAGTATGTCTCAGGAGTCAGCTGCTCCCCTGAATGCTTTTTCCTTTTTTCTATCCAGGGTAACACATATAGACAAGATTTTAAGTATTTTTTCCTTTTTTTTTTTTTTTGTTGAGACAGAGTCTCACTATGTCTCCCTTGATAGAGTGCTGTGGCATCACAGCTGATAGCACCCTCCAGCTCTTGGGCTTAAGCGATTCTCTTGTCTCAGCCTCTCAGGTAGCTGGGACTACAGGCACTAACCACAATGCCCGGCTTTTTTTTGTTGTTGCAGTTGTCATTGTTGTTTATCTAGCCTGGTCCGGGTTCGAACCTGCCACCCTCAGTATATGTGACTGGTGCCCTAACCATTGTGCTACAGGCACCAAGCCTTTAGGTATTTTTTTTACTTAAAGAAATATATAATTTTAAACTCATTTGTTAACCTGTTGGTTAAACTATTTAAACTACTGTCTAAAACTTTAATAAACAAATTCATAGCAATATGTAATTCAGTTCCAAATGATGGTCATTTACAGGAGAGAAAAGTTAGGGAACTAGATGTAAAGAAAGGGTTCAGGAACAAAGAGGGGACAAAGACAAATGGTAATCAAGGTTAAGTCTTCTTATTCCTGTAGCTTATAAGCCGTTTTCATAGGCCTTTCCTATTTCAATTGGCTGGATAACCACTGTTCATATTGTAGTCATTCTTCTAAGCATGGGAGGCTTGGTTCTCCAGGTGATAACCACAGCAGCCAACCAAAAGGGAACCAGAGAGCAGTGTGGCCGGAGTACTTCCCAGGGTGGAAAAATCAAGAATAGGTCCAGCCCTGGCCACAGGTTTTCTCCTCATGACATAAAGGTGTTTTGATGGCAGCTGCTGGCTGATGATTTTGTACTAGTTTGTCATTTTCTTTCTTCAGAAGCAGCATTTCATTTTTCTTGAGAAGGATGAATTTCTTCTATTAAGGAGGAACTTGACTAAGGTGACCTACTTCTGTCTTTACCAAGCAGGCAAGTAAAAAGCAGTTTTACAAGGCTCTTTATTGGGGGTTTCTGTTTCTTTCACAGAGATTGAGACAGTGAAATTGGCTCGTTCTGTCTTCACCAAACTACACGAGATTTGCTGCAGCTGGGTGAAAGACTTCCCTCTCCGCAGGAGACCCCAGCTTTATTATGAGACATCAATCCATGCCATCAAAAACATGCGCAGGAAAATGGAGGACAAACATGTCTGCATCCCTGACTTTAATATGCTCTTCAACCTAGAGGTAAAGGGCACTCTGGAGAGTCAGTGAAATTTAAAACACAAAACAAAATCTCGACGGTCCTGTTAGAAAAGGAAAACTTCCAATACACACGGTGGACACAGTTTGTGTGCAATCGTGTGCAGGGTTAAACTATTTGAAGTAGTATGTCCAGGGCTAAATGCAAAGTGGCACAAATTTGTCTGCATTAGACAACAGCAAAGGAACTTGTTATTTTGTGTATTTTATGGTATTTTGAATAGGCAGGGCATTCACATGTTCTAAAATTGGGAAAATGAAAGTCTCTCTTTTATTATCCTAGTCTTCCGGATACTCAGTTCCCCTCCACAAAAGCAAGAGACTTCCTTGAATAACCTTCTAGAGCTATTCTATGAACATACACAAGCAAAAAGAAAGAAGAAAACCTGTTATATCTCAATAAAGCTGTTTTAAAAAGGAAACTGTAGTATAATCAAATGGTGTTTATTAAGTTTTCATATTATTATGCTGCTGAAGCAACACATACAAATATAAAAGAATGATTTAAGACTGAGACAGTTTTCTGATTTTGTGTTATTTTCTTTGAAAAATCTTGGTGTCTGAGATAGGAGAGTAGCTGGAATTATACTTCATGAGTCTCTGTGACTGACAAATCAGATCCATATGAGCCTTGTCAACTTAATAACTATTTTCTTGTTATCTTTCTCTTCTTTTTCTATTAAATATATTATGTTAATGCAAATAGAAGTAGGTTTGTTTCCTTTGCTTGTCATTTGCCTCTTTTTTTCACTCAAGTCCATAACTTAAAAATTACCATGTAGTAATTTAACAAACACATTTTCTTCATTTAGGAGCTAAATGTACATTTTAGCTGACTGTAAAGGTCTGCTCAGCGGTGTTGGTGGATTGGTAATTGGGGCTTTTGTTATATATAGATGGATCAGCTGATGGCTGTGTTTCCAGTACCAGGTCTGTGCAAATGTGACCCATAAAGCTCTTATGTCACTATGTCTTATGTCACTGTACCCACTGGAGGATTATACTCACATTCAAGGGCATTATTATTTATTGGTTGTTGACTTGGTTGGTTTTCTTCTGCCTTCTAATTTCAAAATAAGCCTAGAGGCCTCAGAAAGGAGTACCGTGCTATAGTGGCATAGGCTTTGAGAACAATGTGGCAACACATACTTAGAAACATATCAATCTGTTAATTTTGTTTTTAATTCTTTATTATAAGGAAATAGAAATACAAGAAAGCCTCAGATCTATGTTGTTTGACATAAATATTTTATATGTTTATAATATTGAAAATTAAGTTATATGAGGGAATAACTATGATATGCTCATAGATATATTATTATGAACTACTTAAAATAATGCCTTTGAATAATAATGACATGGGGAAATTTTAATATGATAAATGACAAAAGCTAGGATATAAATTTTTTTTTTTTTAGACAGAGTCTTATTATGTCACCCTTGGTAGAGTGCTGTGGCATCACAGCTCACAGCAACCTCAAACTCTTGGGCTTAAGTGATTCTCTTGCCGCAGCCTCCCAAGTAGCTAGGACTAAGGCACCCACCACAATGCCCGACTATTTTGTTGTTGTTGTTGTAGTTGTCATTGCTGTTTGGCAGGCCCAGGCAGGGTTCGAACCTGCCGGCTCTGGTGTATGTGGCTGGCGCCCTACTCATTGAGCTATAGGCACAGAGCCATAGGATATAAAATTTTATGAACAGTATGATCTAATTTTATTTTTTTATTGTATTTTATTATTATTATTATTTGAGACAGAATCTCAGGCTGTCACCCTGGGTAGAGTGCTTGGTGTCATAGCTCACAGCAGCCTCCAATTCTTGGGCTCAAGCTATTCTCTTGCCTTAGTTTTTCTATTTTTTTGTAGAGACGGGGTCTTGTTTTTTTGCTTAGGCTGGTTTCAAACTCGTGAGCTGAAGCTATCCACCCACCTTGGCCTCCCAGAGAGCTAAGATTATAGATGTGAGCCACCTCTCCCAGTCTAATTTTATTTTTAAAATATACGTGTAGGCTCGGTGTGGTGGCTCATGCCTATAATCCTAGCACTTTGGGAGGCCAAGGAGGGAAGATTGCGTGAGATTAGGAGTTTGAGACCAGCCAGACCAAGAATGAGACCCTGTCTATGCAAAATATAGAAAAATTAGCCAAGAAGCAAACTATTGAATGGTTGAAATATAATTTTATGATTAAGTTTCTTTTGTCAAGACAAACCACAGGTTTGAAAGTTCCTCCCTCGCAGTTGCCTTTGCAAGGGAATGTGAAGCTAAATCTTGGATGATGGGACAAGGCAGAGCGTTTGGCCACACAGAGCATTCAGGCATCTGATAGGGTTCAAGCTTGGTTAACTAGCTTAGAGATTCTGTGCTATTTATGGTGAGAATTCACTGTGAATATGAATGATTTATGAAATAGGCATTATAGTTTAGAAATGTGTATATGCTTTCGTGTCTTTATGTATTTTAAACCTAAACATGATTGGCCTTGTGCTGGAAGGCCAGCTATTTTCTATTGTTTTCAGGTTCCAATTTTACTTCTCACTTTCTCTTTCCTTTCCCTCCCTCCAACTTGTAACAGTAATTTTAAAGCAAATATATGTGGGTGGTTTCCATGGTATAAGACAACAACTTTCACAGAGAGAAAGCACTTCTGGCTGAATTTAATCAGGCATGATGGGTACCAGTGGTGTGGTATGTGAACACAGACACCCTAATGTTGCAGGTATTTCAGCAGTTGATCAGAAATGTTAAAAAAGAGAAACAATTATTATCATTATTCTGAGTTACAAATGCAGTGGAGGAGAAGGACGGGAAAGAATGATTCCCAGGGCAGGCTTCATTTGAATCCTGCTATACTCAACTCCCTTAACTGTTCTGTATCTATTGACAGGACCAGGAAGAACAAGCTTACTTTGCAGTGTTTGATGGCCACGGGGGAGTGGATGCTGCCATTTACGCCTCAGTTCACCTCCATGTTAACTTAGTTCGCCAGGAGATGTTCCCCCACGATCCTGCTGAGGCGCTGTGCCGGGCTTTCCGGGTCACTGATGAGCGGTTTGTGCAGAAAGCAGCCAGGGAGGTACGCCACTTTCCAGCTACCAGTGCACTAGCCACGCTCAACTTGGTCTATGTGGTTAAAAGGCTGTTTAGGTTTTTCTCTTTCTGGACAGATACATTATCCAAACTGTATTCTTGACCCACAGGGTTGGCTTCTGTTACAGTTTTAGGTCTAATTCCCTCCTCAGAAGTAGTTTCAGTGGTATACAGTGAGGTACGGCATAGAAACTCTCAAGCTGTAATGTTCTGGATTCATTTCTGTGATCATTGCTAGATTTGGCAGGTGAATTTTATTTTTCTTTTATTCACCATTGCCTGTCAGGTTCACACCAGGACCATCTCTCTAAGCAGACTCTTGCTGACAAGATTGGATATGGTGAATAAAACAATGGTCTAAAAAAGAAACAGAAACTGGGATTACTTCCATACATTTGGTTCTAAATGGGTAGGCAGTGTTTTGCTATGTATCTTTTGAGGGAAAATTTGCTTGGAGAGGGTGAATCCTTAGATGATCCTAGAACTGATTTTTTCTTCACAGGAAAGAAAGAAGTCATAGCTCATGTCCTGTATTGCTAACGTTAATCAGACCTGAGTTTTTAAACTCTGAATGAATAACAGGGGCTCTGTATTAAGGTCTCTAAAAGTAAAATAATAATAATAATAATAATAATAACCATTCTGGGCATTGGTGCATAATTAACTACAATACTCTATATTGGATTTTAACCTGGGATCAGTTAAAAATAATTTTTAATTTTTAAAAATAATTACAGAATTAGATACATAAAATAAGCTTCCTGCCCTATGGCTTAAACATTAAGTCTTTTTAAAATGCACTTGAAGAGATAAAAGTGATCATTTAATCCATTTCTGTAATTTCTTAGATAGGCTACAAAACAATAATAGAGCTTGGAATTAATGAAACAGTACTTAATAGCTACATGGTATTAATCCTTTACCTTTTTTTTGTCCCCTAAGTTTGGATTAATACTTAAGTTCAACAATAGTAAGCACTAGTGTCCACACAAAGAGGTGGGGCTGGAAAATAAAGTCCAGCCCTTGACCCCACATCTTTTAGTCCCTTGAGGATCAACATTCTCCTGGCTCTGTCTAGAAGCTGCCGGTTCTCTTCATTCTGACTGAGGACAACATCAGGCCCTGATAGGTGATCTGGGAGCAAAGAATCACTTTGTTTCCCTCATCCTCTATTCCTTTGTCTCCTAAAAATTACGGCTTTTTCTGTGTTACCTCATTGGTTTGGTCAATGATCCTGGTATCTCTCAGTTCTGCCGATAGTATTCTTCTCTCAGTTTTTTTCCTTCTTCTGCTTCCTTCACTTTTCCTTCACTTTTTTCCTTCTGCTTCCACGTGCTGCTTACGGCTCAGGAAGTTGCTATTCCTGTTGTGAAGCAGCCCCGCCTCCCGTTCTCTCTGGGGCACATGCACTTAAGTCTTTATCATGTGTTGTAAGGGGCTGAGTTTTGAACATTTTGTGTGGGTAGACATTTTATTGGTGGGTGGAGATTTATAACAAACTTTCCCCCGGGAGGGAAAATGAGAAATTGTCTTCTCTTTGGATACAAGGGGCTTTTTACCACTCCTGACACACTGATTCTAATTTAGGCCAGGCCCTTAGTAACAGAAAGTCATGCTCATTTGGTGGTGACTCATGTCAAAAGGAGATGTCATTTTCATATAGTAGGATCAAGAGCTTTAAGTACAGTGGTAGCTACTGCAGTGAAATTCTAGGCTGTTACTTCTTTATTCAGTGTTCCAGAAGGAAAGGACTCTTAACAATATTGTAGGGAGAATTTTTTTTTTTTTTTTTTTTTGCAGTTTTTGGCCAGAGCTGGGTTTGAACCC